AAGTCATGCTGATACCAAACATACAGGTGTCCGTCTCGGATGTGAACTCTAGTCCAAGAGTGCGCGCGCACATTCAAGCCTCTCGCTCTCCGCTTACGCTTTCCCATAAAGAAAAAAAGAAACAACCTAAAAAGGAGACGCTGATCGTGCAACTTGGCGGTTTGTTTTTTCTTCCCTAAGCTCTTCTGCTGTTCGGCGGCGCATTAGGATTACGATTCTTATTCCTTTTGGTCGCCATTTTCCTTTCCTTCCTTTTGCAATCATTCGCCATGAGTTCTGGAGGAGTCGCTGCATATCTTCTTTTGCTTTTTTTTTTTTCGACGCGTGTTTAAGATTTTCTGTTTACGTTTTCGAGGAATGTTTTTTGTACATTTTTTGCTAGCAACCGGGGCCGACGGGAGAAAGCGTTCGTCGTAGTCCGCTTCCAATTATGGAAAACGGCGTGTACCGCATTCCCGCATCCGCGAAATGGTGTTCGCGGAAGATGCGCTGGGGGGCACCTTTCTTTACGATGATTCCTTCTCGTTTCGAGCCCGTTAACAGTTAGGCTGCCTCTTACTTATGCGAGCCCTATTTTTCCAATTAGGTTCCCGTTTTCTTTTTTTGTATTTAGTTTTTACGCGATGTTGTTTATTCGCTTCGTTTTTCGGTTCATTTTGTTTTGCATTTTTCGTTTTTGCTAGAACGCGTCTCTCCATCACGATTCTTCCGTTTTGCCCGTAATGGTTTGAAAAAGTGTTGCCACGTTTAATGTGACGTTTCCCTATCATTGCTTCTTACATCTCCCTCTTCTAATACACTCTGTATCTTTTTTTTTTATTTTTCTTTGTCGCATTACGTGGTACGTTTTTTTCCTTGCCGTCTCTCTGTCTGTGGCAGATTTTACTTCCCTTCTTTCCCTCTATTGCAGTCCCTCTTTCGATGCGGTTCCATGAGGAGTTGGCGCGCGTCTGTACAAGGGCACCGCGTGCACTAACAACAACAGTGCTAGCTGTCCTCGTATTCGCACACTCTGATGCTCGAACACGCGGGCACATATCGCGCTCAAAAATCTCGTCTTGGCTACCTCATTTCAATGCTATGAAACCTACTCGCACATAGTTTGAGTTGGTTAAAAAGCTGTCTGGGGATAATCAGTTACGGCGCTACGCTTTTTAAGCTCTCAGTGACCGCACTGGTAACTGGTGATGATAATAGTGATGTCTCGTAGCATAAATATTAAAAAAAATTGCGTCACAAAAAATAAAATAAAATATTTTAGCGTTGGAATTTGAAATACTTTGATCGTGATTCTCGAAATATATTTACTTTGAGATCGTTTTATTTATTTTTACATAAATTTTAAGGTCTTTTGTTCTATTTTGAGCCTAGTTTTACCAACCACTTACGAAACTCAGAGCCTGGCAACTCCCGAATAATTTATTATCTCCGCAGCCAATGAAATTGCTGCATAGACCAACGATGATGATGATGATGATGATAGTTTATTCTGCCTCTTTGTTCCTCATTGTAAGAGGCGGGTCAATCAAAGCCAATGTCGGCTTGTGTGATTAGGCCCAGCAGTGTTTAGAAGTGTCAATGCAGGAATATATATATAGTTCAGTAACTGATTGGTCCCAGGCGTGGATCGGTGTAATGTATACACAATTTGAGGTGACTTCACCAATTATACGCACGTAACTAAATTATTAATATTACTACTTATAGTTATGCTATCGAACAAAAGTAATGCCTACACATGCACCCATATGCATGCAACACCAAACGGCACCACAGCACGTACAGGCGTACACACCTAGATCTACACATATACATAAACATACACTTAGATAGAACGTATACACTAATGCTCACACAGACACCTTCGTACGAACAATATTCAGCTCCCGTACGACTTTAGAACAGTTTAAACTGGTACATGAGGCAAATACCCTACGGTGGGCTGCTACTAGCACATTTGCTTCGGGCATTTGTTTTGAAAGGCACGCTGGGAGTCAATTTGATCGAGAAGATCTGGTAATTTGTTTAATATGTTTGAAATATAATACGAACGTACACTCTTTCCTTATTTGATGTATATACGAGGAATTATGAGGCATTCACTGTTTCTTATAGAGCGCAGGATAACCCGAGGTTTTTTTTTAAATTGACTAAACCAATAATTTCTCAGGATGACGCATCGATAAAAAACAGGTATAGAACGCCGCAAGCCCACAGAAAACAGTTCATCATCTGGTATCTGGTTGTGATTCTTTGAAAAGTGCTTCGCGATGTTTCTCAGAATGGCGTCAGTTTTCGTTTTCCAGAGTGTTGAGCAGTTGGCAAAGATAGTCATTCCATGGCGAAGAGCTCACTCAGTACGCAAGTGTGTTGACGACCGTCTTTCTGGCGGAAATCGGTAGGAAGGTATTTGTATGGTATAAAAGACACGATGCGAAGTCTTTTAGCCAGAAAATCTAAGTCGGTGTTCCACGAGAGCTCGCTGTCAAAGAAAATTCCCAAATATTTAACTTTGGAATGTGTGTACAGCTGAAATATATGCAAGACGAGGAATGTATTATAAAAGCTATGTCCTATTGCTTCGCTTACGCCCCGAATATCCATCGAGACAGAAGATCCAACGACCCGAAAGATCCAATTATTTACGTGACAGGCGAGACGGAATATCCATCGAGACGAAATGTCCAACGAGTCTTAATATCCAACGAGACGGAGGATCCAACAAGGCCGGAATGTCCACCGTGACTGAACGTCCCTCGAGATGGAATGTCTGATTGAGACTGAATGTTCAAGGAGTCCGAATGTCCAACGAGACGGAAGATCCAACCAGGCTTGAATGCTCAAACGTGTCTCATTATCCAACGAGCTTGAATATACACTAGTGGATCTTTTCACTCATTGAATCTTTGGACTTGTTGGACATTCAGGCTCTTAATCGTTCTGCTTTTCTAGATAGCGGGAAAAAAATAAACTTTGTTTTTTGCACATTTAAACTGATAGTTAAAGTTGTTGTTCCTCCCGGTGGGTGTGGGAGGCAGGTTCCGCTTCGATGGTCTGGAGCGTGGTGGCACGAACGTCGCTGAGTGACGGGTCGACTCACTGCTTGCAGAGAACTATGTGCATTTATTTACACACTAGTTACAATTCCCAACTTGGGAGACCATCCCGCCTCGTCTAAAGTCTCGACCCCCGTCCCCAATTTCTCTCCATCAAATCCAAAGTCCGAATCCCTCAAAATCCTCTCCGCGCTCCTTTTGTAGGCCCGTAGGGGCCTCCTTTCCCCTCAGGAACCGACCAATCTCTTCAAATTCCGCCACTCACACGTGGTACACTGTTCTCCAATGGTCGGCCAGCTGTCATTTTAGCGTCCCAACCGCCAAACCCAAACTCCTTGTAGAGTTGTTCTCTGCAATTTTCCCAGCCTGACTGGCGCCAACCGCTAAATTATTGCATCGGACAAAAAGCGACAATTTTATACAAAGCGGCAAAACCCTCTGCATACACGAACATTCGGCTATAAGCCACAAGCATCTTCCAGCGCGGGCTCTTTCGGTCCCGGTCCGAGCAGACCCCCGAAACCCGAGACGCTTCTTAACGACCGGCGGGGGGACCGCTCCCGCGTCGCGGCCGCTCTGGCCCCGCCGACCCAAACGTAGAAAGCTAAAAAAAACACAATGCCGACGCAACTTTGGAAAGATAAACTTTCCTAACCAAAAGAAAATCACCTTAATTAATAAGCATGACTCCTAAATACTTAACATAAACTTTCCTAACCAAAAGAAAATCACCTTAATTAATAAGCATGACTCCTAAATACTTAACTCTGATTTTATTGGCTTCAAACCAGTTCATGACTCGTAAAATTTATTTGCAGAATGCTTATTGCACTACGCAGGATGACATGAGTAGATAATCGCAATATGTCACTTGCGTATTAATAATAATAATATTAATAATAATAATAATAATGTTTATTGTTGAGTGCTCCAAAAGAAGCAGCAAGGACGCCGAAGAGCAAACCTTGTGAAGCGGAAAGAGTGAACATAATAAATCTCTCCCTGCGTTTCTTAAATTCTGTGTGACTATACAACCTCATCTTTATGTCCTTGTCGCCTTATTTTTAATCTAATCTTTCTTACTTATCTCTCGGCATCGTCATTAAACACTCCACACACACAAAAGAAAACTAAAATATTGTTTATTTTTGTTCGCTCTAGTATTCAATTCGATTCAATCCAATTCGTTCATTATTAGTGAGATGCATATACATTTTACTGAAAACGCAGATTGACCCATAGCCAGGTAGCTAGTTTGGGTTCAATAAAAATAAGAAATCTGAGGCATAGAATCAGCAACACAAAATATTAAGAAGCTAAATCAAAGTCTACGAAACAAAACATACGCGACATATAATCATCCTAGGAGCAACACTAATTTCGTTAAACTGGTAATGAGGGTGAAGGTGACTAAAAGGGTTAGACTAAAATTATGGGAACAATGAAGATCATTAGAAAGGAAATTGCCTAGTTTTGTGATGCAGAAATTCATTAATATTTCTCCATGTGTGTTATTACATGAAGGAAGATTCAAATGCCCAGATAAATTAGTCCAAGTTAGAAGGGCTTCTTTTAGAAGTATCGTTATTGGAAAGGGGTTGTTATCGGTTACAGTTCTATGGAACACTCTTTGCAATTTTGTGTTTTATTATTTCTGAAAATCTAAGAATGCAAAGTTGATTAAATAAAACGCTCGAGTCTGACGTGTAATGTGAGTGGGTTATAATTCGAATTTGACTTTTTGTAAATTAATTATTGGTACGAGGTAACTATATCATACTATATCAACTATATCCCAAGCTTTTGTAGAGTATGTGAGATGACTTTGAAATATTCGCAAGTAAATTATTCGTGACGCGTCTAAAATCAGGCTTGTTTTTGGTCTATAGCCTTTGGGCGACGATCCTGGATCAGTTGCTTATTTTCTGCGTGTTTTCTTTCCAGGGTGGATCGCACCTAGGCCTGGAGCGGAGTTGAACATCCTTCGTACATGACCCGTGTCCTCGACGATCGGATGACAGCCAGCGCGAGACACTTGCACGCCCTTTCAATCGAAGGTGAGTCAGCAAAACATTTCGCCTCTTCAACCGCCAAATGTACGGTGGGATATATCGAAGCATGGTAACCTACGCCATAATGTAAAAACAATGATTCATAGAAAAAAAAAACGCATTAGTATTTTAGAGACACATCTACGGTTCTTACCACCCTGGCGAAAACTGTGAGTCACTGGTTGCCAGGCGCGGAGTCTGACATTTCTCGGAAGACGGCCGCTGCGCATGCGCAGAACATGTTTCCCGGCCGAGTAGACAAAGATGGCGCTGCGTGCAAGACGATTTCTGCGACGGTCTATTCTTACGCTTCTGCGTTTTCCGCTTTTATCCAATTTTAATTAATTTATTCGAGAATGCAGAACGCTATCTGTACTCCACAGCCCCTTTAGTACCACAATGTCTGTGAACTTGACGCCCAGGTGGCGTTGACTACGAAACGGATGTTTGTTTGCCTCTCAACCCGTAGGGCGGAGAGAACGCGCACTGGGTTGCAAAGAGGCACCGCCGTCACACTTATGTACCTGGAACGCGTCTCGGACTGGCGTCCAAGAAAGTCCTCGACGTCGGATAGGCGACGTCATAACAGTGTCACACTGTCGCCGGTCGCGATCCTGGCGGCGTTTCAGCAACTGTGCCGGATGTGGCAGATGCCTGTTCCGCTGCAGGTCGCCCTCCAGCTTGACAGTCCACGGAAGCTTCGACAGCCAGAAGTTGGGACGCCGCGACGACAGCGACACTCGCGTTCGCTCCTGCTTTTCGCCAGCATTTCTATCAACCAACCGCCAGGATCGCGACATCCGACAGCATGACACACCGGCTTCTGTGTGACGCCATTCTTTGTCGCTTCGGGTAAAGTTGATTGAAAGTTTTAACCCGATTAATCTCCACCTTTCATTCGATTAACTAATGGATTATTCGGTCGCCTCAATTTCCAGACATAATATCGCCAAATGGAAAAAGTACTTTTTTTTTAATACTTTTTATTGATAAACGCCACAGTGTACATTTTCAGCTTTAAATAACCATCTGCAATTTAATAAAAAACAATCTCTCAGATTATTATTTTCGTTGCGAAGGCATCGAAGTTTTCTGGTATTCTTTGACGTTGGGAAGTTTCTTGCGTCTTCACAATCCTCATTGACGCACCACAGACAGACGCTCGTGAGACGTTTTAATCGGGGGAGGCATTACTTTTTTTCGCCAAACTGTCAGAGAACCGAAGAAGCACTGCGCTCGCCATTGCAATCCACCGTTCGTCGCGTCAGCAACGAAAAAAAAAAATTACAGCGACACACCCCAGCTTTTCCGTTGACCATTCGAGGACCATGTCCTAACGCCATTGAGCGGCAACACGAGCGGCTGGAAATGTAAAAGTCAGTGGCTTTGAGAGGATTCACAACGTCGGTAGTACAGAGCTCTTCACAAAGGTCGCATCATGGTCGTACCAACCTCAACGAGGAATTATAAAAATGAGTCGGCGTCCGTCGGCGCCAGAAGAGCGAGGGAAGAAGCCCTAACCCCCCACAGGTATGCCTCTGACTGGATACGCTATGAAATGTGAAAGTAAAGATCCGGACTGGAGCCTTTTGTCAATCTTGGGGAATTTCCCCGTTCAGGGAACCTGATGTCCTTGAGGAGCGTCCCCTGCGCGCTGGATGCCACGCTCTTGCGTGTTGCTATGCTAGCCAAGAAAAGCCAGATCTTCTTTTCGTAAATTGTACGCGGTCTTTGAATTGGAACCAGCCCTTGCTTAACCGCGATAAATGATGTCCGCCGACGAACAGGGTAGTGTTCGTCGGAAGTTTAGGAAATGAAGAGAACGTCAGTAAGAAAAACACAAAAATAACGCTTATTTTGTTTCGATTTAGACGGTTTCAAGTTGAACCGATTAACCAGTTAAAAATTTAATCGAGATAGAAGCATGAATAATTAATCGGAAGGTTACCGTTTCCATCGCCCACCCCTCGGAACCACTTTTGATGTGTGAGAATGATAGGACGCTAAACACACCAGTCGGAGACGCTGTGCAGGCACCACAGTCACACAGATTGTAGCTTTAAGTGGCGGAGAATAGTAGATGAATGTTCGTGATTAGTATGCGAGCAATACAGGATATTTATTAGGCTTCGTCAATTATAAAATTTAGAAGCATGTTCACAGGCTTTGCTCCCATAATTGCATAATGATCATCGTCAAGATGCGTAGAAGCTTTGTTTTCGGAAAGACGCCTTTCCGCTCAAAACGCAGGTGCCAACGTTAAAAGAACACTCAGTTGGGAAACTCGCCGTCGAAACTTAGGCCGCTGGCGTCCACCGAGACCGAGCTAAATGCGACAACAGCGCCACTCTTTTTCGTTTGTCTGTACTATGGTCACCTCGAGCTTTTTGAAAGCCTGTTTTTTGCGTAAAAACAAACGGAAAAGACTCTTTTTGTATGACATTTATTGGAGTTTAGTACAAAATGAAGGACGCGTGATGTTTTTAAAATCTTTAGTTTGCAAGGTATAGCGGCCCAATTAATATTGTTTTTATACAACCATGCATCAGTGGTGCTTGGCAGGTAGCGCGTCCCGACCTAGGTGCATTTTAACTTGGGTGGAAAGTCGCGGCGCTTCCGCTGGGGAGACAAGGGTGGTACCCCTGTAACCTCTTCCGCTGTATCTGTTTCGGCGCCAAAATGGGCGATTAAAGCCAATATAGATGAAACGTGCAGTTCCTCGAGTGGCCGCTGCGGGAGAAATGGCGGCGTTGTGGTCGCCATTAGCTTAAAGCCCCTCGATCATGAGGACAGATCTTTGCCACTTTTTCAGAGCAGTCTCTATGGCAGTTTCCCAACTGAGTGGTTCTAGTAACGTTGGCAGGTGCCTACAACTGCTGTGAGCAAACGCGCTTCCTTGTGAAACATGAATAGACCAATTACTCTGGGAGTTGAGCGACAGCACCGCTGCCGTGGTGCATTCTGGTACATGTAGTTCTCCCCAGTTTTACGGCCGTGCCATGCCCGGTGAACGCTCGGCGCATGGAAATTGTTGGGCTAGCACGAGGCTTTTAACCGGATATTTATACCCGTGCCACACGGGCATCTCGAATGCCATTTACAACGAATGACATTCGTGTGATCGACGAATCGGCTCGCGATCTGTCGCGCGAGGAATGCGCCACGACCGGAGCGTCACGCGCTGATTGGCCGATCGTTCAAATGTCATTCGTTGTAAATGGCATTCGGGTCGCTCGTGTGGCACGGGTATTACTCACGGTTTTCAATAGATGGCTTCACCTGTTGTGTGCCAGGGTCTTACAATAAGAGAACCATGCAAAAATACATCGAATTTCATCTCTTCCCGAAAGAAAGAATCCCCCGAAAAAGAGTGGCTAAGAAAGGTAAACAGAGACGAACAGAGCGGCAGTAAAAAGAGCGTTTTTCTATTTGTTTTAGGATTTGCTTCATAAGCTAAATCCATCCCATTGTACGTTAGCTAAAGAGTGCAAGATTACAGGGCACAAGACATAGCAGGGCGTGCCGAAGTTTACCGTACGTGGGAATCTCCCTTAGCACTCGCTCCATAACAGTCTATCGTTTGGTCTATTTCATTTGGGACCTCCGCATTGCTTCAAGGTGGCCTTTTTTATACACTTTTTGCTCGATGTATTTTGGTCATTAGAACTGTTATTGCGACATGTTTCAAGGATAACTGTGCTTCAAAAATTAAGAACAGTTAGAAAAAAGAAAAAAAGAGCAGTGATTTCCGATATGCATCACTCAAATTAAAACAGGTTTTTCGAAAGCAGTCTTTATTTGTTAAAAAAAGTGAAAATTCCGCATGATGCAGTTTAGAAGTGCAACACTTACCGCCAGAAATGTAGCAAACAAACTTCACCCACCTTGTGGCGGTCTATTATGCCACAACTTGATTTTAGCTGGCATTACCGATTCATGGTGCATTGACAACAACCGAGACAGAAGAAGAAAAGCTTCCAGCGTCAGGCGATTGTTAGCGTTCGGGGCTAGCGCAACCAAAATAAGAATGAATATAAACTGTACCCGAAAACTCATCTCCACCCAAAGTTTTCAGGTACCTGGCATGGTTGCTTCTTTTCGACAGATGCGAGTTGCCACGGCGCTTCCAGCGTGGCATTTCTGTAGACCGTTTCTTCCTCGTGTGCAGGCGTCTGATCGCATTTCATCTGTATACCTTGTCAATCAAGCTGTCAGCCAGAAGGAGACGACTTTCAGAAAACTATCGCTCCCCGAGATAGTCGATTTAGCTCTTCTTACTTCAGTGTCGCTTAAACGTTACGCACAAGGCCGAGCACAACGAAGGTCAGTTCTTTACCGACACATTTGATGCTGTTCCGCGGTTCTACACCGAGCCGATGATCCCTCGAATGTTCCTGTTCTTTTTGCCATTGAACTAGATGTACACTCGTTTTTAAGTTGATCGAGACGTCCGAGCAGCCAGAGTGCTCGAGTGGTGGCGTTGTTGTTTTTCCCGCGGCCGCAGTCGAACCACCGCGTGAACGGCAGTGGGTTCACGCCGTTGACGAAGACGAAGAAGTAGACAACGACGAAGCGGACGGCAAAGCGATTCTAAAGCGAGAGGACAAATGGAACCGCTTTTCTACGCTTTCTGAAAAACTAAGACTTCACAAACAACACAATATTACGAAGTACAGACATCCGGGAGAATCCAGGCCGATACCCGGGCGTTACAAACGACGATGTGCGATGATGTGCGCGCACCACAGCCGGGAAGCCGGATGTGCGAAAACAGTTCCCTAAGACTATCAACTGCGCGTGATGGGTTCGGTGGACAGCAAACGTAGAAAGGGTGCCGTGACGGTGCACTTTCGCTGCCGCCTGATTGGCCTCATCGGATGGTAGCGTCGGTTGCGCTAATTTCAAAGAGACACTCGTTGCATCATTCCTTTTCTTACGCGACTCGCGTACAAAGTTCACAGAAATTTGTAAAGATTTTTTAATGAAGGAGAAAAACACCACAAAGA